CATCACCCTCGTAACATGAGATGCCATTTTTGTTCACAGATATAAAGCAGTAGTTCCCTGACATATTTGAAGATGGGAAAAGAGAAATTATATAGAAGTACCATATTTGTAGGAGTATATATAATAAAATGGCGTGCCATGAAGTCACTATGACGCGTCGTGCGGCGGAGTTGCACCAAATGCGGTTGTTTGTACAAAGCGAGGCGGAGTCTGGGAAATTTGGAGAGGTGTCTACGTTTTTGCATCTTGCTGTAAAGGGATAAGCGATCCGATGAAAACTGGGCGAGTTATTAATATTGAGGGTTTGCCCAATTTGGCCACCGTCCTAAAAAGGAAATTAAGGGTCCTAATCTAATCTAATCGTAATTTAAAAATCAAATTGGGGTGCTGGAGTCTCGTGTGGGAGATGTTGGGGAGATGTGTTTGCGAGAGCTGCATCAGGAAAATGGTCGAGACCTACATAGCACATGTAGGGTGATAGGTTCCCCTCTGATATATAGGTTTGATAGGTAAGCACAACAACTGCATACCCAGCCATAGATCATGATAGGTCGGTAGTCAGTTGCACTGATAGGACTCATAGAAGCTATAGGAGGGCATAGTGCAGTATATTGTATGGTGTGATAGGCTACAGAGATTGTAGATTAACTATTTATAGTGATGAGCATGGGTAACCCGCGGGTGTTTTCACACCTACCTTTACCCTTACCCGATGCAAACCCGTACCCTTTCCATGGGTAAGGGTATTTCAGGGGTGGGGGTAGGGGTTTGTACAGGGTTTGGGGGGTCGAAAACCCACAACGGGTGGACATTAGGGTCAGGTATAATGTACACTACGTAGTCTAATCAATCAGTACATAAGTCAAGGTGGCGCCCCCCTCTTCTTGTTGTGTCATCAGATGTCGTTGTGTCGGTCGTTCGACCGTCCACTGTCATTGTCGTCGTGTCGTCGTTGCAGCGCGGTGTCATCATTGTGTCATGTAATCTGTGGGGGACATGTTAGAGACGTGGGTTGGGACAGGGGTGCTCACCGGTGGGTCATAAGATGGATGACAACAACGAACGACGAATTGGCCGTTGTTCGTCGTTTGGTTGCCACGTTGCTAACAGCGACGTAGCACCTGGATTCAATGTCAAAGGAAGGAGTGAGATGACAGGGTTGTAACGACTCACCTGGGCTCGAGTGGTGGTGCTGGGCATTCGTCACTTTTCATGGTGTTGGGCGCTCGTTGACATGCCAGGTCGTCACCGTCACCTGTCATCCATTCGGCTGGTGATGTGGCGTCGCCTCGTTGTTGTTGTTGTTGGCATGTGTAGTGGTGGTTCGGGGCGTCGAACCACGGTTGGGGAAGGTGGCGGTGATTAAAGTGTGGTTCGGTCATTGTCGGTTGTCACGTCACTGACGTGGCACCTGTTTGTTGTGTGAAGAAAGGAAAGGGTGCGGGGGAGGGATCACATTGGCACCTGAACTAATGTGGGCAGTGACGACGATTGCGTCGTCACCGTCTGACGACGTGGCACGTCCGTTGACGTGCCAGGTCGCCATCAGCCGTTGGGCTGCTGACGTGGCGTTGCCATGTTGTCGTTGTTGTCGACGTGTGCGATGGTGGTTCAGAACGTCGAACGGCGGTGGTTGCGGAAGGTGGGGTTGTTGGTCGCGGTTGCGGGTGGTCGTCGATGTGGATAGTGGTTGTTGAGAAAGAAAAGTGTTTGTTTGTTGTTGATGTATGTAACGTTCCTGGCAAACACCGCTCATGCGGCTCACATGATCTATTACATAATCTGTTGACCACCCTTGACTTACCCTCACAAAAACCCCCAACCCTTGTCAAGGGTTGGGGTTTTTTGAGGGTCAGAAAATCCTAACCTCTACCCTTACCCTCCCTACCCTTACCCTTGTACCCCTAAGGGTTTGCAAACCCTTGCACATCACTAACTATTTATTCATCATCCGAAAACACCATATTTTCCCACTCCTTCTTAGCTGCCTCAATGTCATCCTCGGTAAGCTGCAGGGCCACTGTATCGGGGGCATCAACAACCTTTGCATGTTTCCTATAGTTGTATAAGCAGAGAGGAGATTCACGAGAATACAAAAGACTTACTTTGCAAGCTTGAGAATATGTTTGAGGAGGCAAGGGATGATCTTGGACTCCTGTGTCTTCTTTTCGAACTTGATGATTTGTTTGAGATGTGCATTGAACTTGTGCTTGTACACTGTTGTGGTGAATTGAACATCAACGTGCTTGCTGGTTTGCTATTCATCAATGCAGCTCTCAGCCTGGTGATGAGTTAGAACAAACAATTCACATGAAAGTATGACCGATGTACAACAGTGATGACAAGAGCCATTGTTATTTTCAAGAGTGTGTCATCTTCAGAGAACTCTGGATGGATGACTCCGTTGTTGGTCTTGTTTCGGAACCACTTTTTGTTGACGATGGCTTGGAACACAGGGTGACAGTAGAGGCCTTTGTGAGCCTTTGTGTCCTAGAGGGTGTCTGAGAACTGAGAATAGACAGAGGGATTATGATGAACCTTGTACATAAAGGTGTTTCGGTCCAGCAGGTCTTCAACTAGATTTTTGATCTCACACTTGGGAGCACTTGGATTGATTCCATATGCAGCCTTGATGCAGCCTCAACCAAAGGCTGCGTGATGGTCTTGAGCTGGCCACGGACTTGAGATGCACGAGCAGTGATCTGTTGAGTGATTAGATGATGGAAAACAGTTGATGATGCTTACCAGCTTTAGCATGTCTTCATCAAACTCGACGCGAACACCTCGTGCATTACACGATTCCACCCAAGCTCCTGTGGCCATATCGTGATCCTCAAGGCGGTCCAGATAGTCTCCTCAAGAAGGGATTTGCTGAGTTTGTCAAAGTCCGCAACTCAGGCACGTCTTCGCAAGCCTGATGACTTGGTCTTGGGTCATTTGGTGACCACTGTGGTCGAAGGCGCTGGGGTGGCCGGATGATCCTTTCGGATGCGAGAGTTTATGATTGGTGCGATGGGGGGTGCCGCTGCCTTCAAGAGTTGGGAGGTTGGTAAGTAAACAGCTTAAAAGTTTGCTGACCAAGCAAACATGGAAGATGTACAGGTTGCTTTGAAGCATGAACAGATGGGGTGAGGGTAGCTTGATGGTCCTTATGAGAAGACAAAGAAGTTAGTGAGATTATGGTGATGAGTTGGAAGCAACAAACCCGCTCGGCCTGCTTTGAAACATGAGCAGGCTCTGCATGAGGGAAAGCTTTGAGCTTGGGGTGTGCATCAGGGTACTTGTAGACCACTGGTTGCAAATAGAGCATTGATTTGGTTCCAAACTCATCATCACTATCTGAAAAACACAAACATCATGACAACAGCACGTAAGGTAAGGAGAGCCTTACTCTCTGCTTCTGGATACCTCTTTTCTTTCGTATAGTAGGTACCATCAGGCCGCCCATAAAGTGACACGCTTTTGGGGCTGTATGGACTGGGAGTGTGTTCATCCATCATGGATGGTGAAGATTGAGGAGGCTGTCCAGTGATACGTTGAACAAGATTCTTGGACAGCCCTCTTGTTTCCTGGGTAGATTGGTCAGATGGGGGGGGGTAAATAGTTGCGATGAGATATGTACAAAAGTCATTACAGGTACATTTTCCTTGTCTGGTGCGACTTGATGGGTTAGAGTTTGACTAGTGTTTGAAAGTCTGGTTCGGTCCGGTTTTTTGATGCCCAGGGGCGTTAACCGTGACCGTAACCGGTCTGCCTTTTCCCCAGAAGTCAAAAGACCAGACCGGACCGCAAAAAGACCACAGACCGCGGTTTTTTGCGGTCTATAGACCAGTTTCGGTCTGCATCGGTTTTAACCGGTTTATGACCGGTCTTTAGGCCAATATTTTAAAATTATGAATCGGTAAATTTATTAACATCTCTAATAGCTTCAAAACGAGCCCAAGAACGTTAAATTCCGTTAGGAATTGGTGCTTCTATAAAATAAGTCTGGTACATCTATTATTCCCAAAAGTAATTTACATTTTAATTCATATCTCTCTCGTTTTTTTTTACCAAATCGTACGTTCTTGGGTGCGTTTTAAAGGGTATTTAAGGGGCTACAAAAGACCGGTCCAAACCGGTCTTGACCGGTTCACGTTAACCGGTTTTTTTGCGGTCTTCACATTTCAAAAATAAAAGACTGTGACCGCAGGTCCGGTCTTTTGGGGTCTTGGTCCGGTCTGGTTACAGTCTTTTTCCAGTCACAAGACCGGACTTCCAAACACTAAGTTTGACCATCACGTACGGTGGTCTTGATGACTGGTTGAAGTGTAAAAGATGTAAATTTTCATCATGTTAGCACAGGCTCTTGACATAGAACATGCAACTTACTCCTTGACGGTGAACAACAGGATGGTCGTCTTCATCCTCAGACTCGACATCGGCCTCAACAGGACTTTGGACAGGTATAGATTGATAGCCCATGATCGCTTCCTGGGCTTGATGACCATGTAGGGCCTGGACATAAGCTTTGTCCTTCGACACTGCTTGCTTCTGTCTCTTGTCAACTTCTGAGAGTCTTCATGAGTACGAGAAACATATTTATTAGGTTTGATGTACTTACTGAGCTGTTGCTGCTTGGCAGACAATGTGTGTGGGCAACCGGAAGAAGTCGGCTGAGCTTCAACAGGAGGTGCTGAAGCTGGTTTGAGAGCCATAGTACTAGTGTTTGCAGGTCCAGTCTACAGGACTGAAAATATACATAGGACTGAACTGGACTGAACCACGGTCGGGTCTTTTTCCAGTTGCAGTTGCCCACATTTGTGGTCAGTCCAGTTGCCAGTTGCCATGTTTTTGTAAATATATAAAAACTGAAAAAGACCAGTTTAGACTGGTTGCAACTGGTCTTTCATCCCATCACATGCTGGACCTTACTCGTGCACATTTTTTTTAATTTTCGGTCCCTGAATCATCAAAAACGGTCAAGAATTGGTTGAGATATGGCCAAAAACATTTTTATGTATGTGATTCAAATGTACGTCCTTTCTGTTTTCGCCCTACCTCAGTCAAATCTTGACAGAATTGCTTAGATTTTTGATCAGTCTACAGAGAATTAAAATATCTATCTACGTATGCAATGTATGTGAAGTAATATTTAGTTTCTGTGGTGTAATAAATTTTACAACAAAAGACCGGTTGCAACTGGTCTGGACTGGTCTTTTTCGCATTGTGGACCGATTAGGACCGGTCCAAAGCGGTCCGGTTGCAGTCCCTCAATATTTGGATCGGTCTAGACTGGTTGCAGTTGCCAGTTGCGTCGTTTTGAGGTAAAAAAACTGGACTTAACTGGACCTGCGAACACTATGTAGTATGTGTGCGAGGGGCCATTCTAAACAGAGTTGTAAGCTGATGAAAAGACACAAGAAGACTGAGGCAATAGTGCACACTGGTTTGGTCCAGCAGTCATGGCGGTTAAATAGGAAAATCGGGTGGTGGTGTCCAATTTCTAAAAAATCAACAAAGGCGATGGCATGATTCGTGTTGGTAATGTGACAGGGGCCATTGTATAAAATGGCGGAGAGCAGAACACTGAGACAACTATGATCAGATAGGTTAAAAAAAAATTAATGCAATTGACAGTTGAACAAGTACACATACCTCTCTCGACATGTTGACTGTCCCTCGTACTTGCCAAACCCAACTAAGGAAGGTGATAGTTGAGCAGTGTGCTTTGCCTGACCCAACTGTTACTGTATCCACCATCTGCGGATTCTGTGGAAAAGGGCCCTTTGCAACTGTTCCAGGTTTACACAAACATATCCACAATACGCCTGCCTGCAATCAAGCGCGTCAAGCCGACTTTGGATCTTATGTCGCAAACATCTGGACTGAAGTAGCTGGTCAGCAGGATGGGTCTGCTCAAACACAGGAGAATCACAAAGAAGCCCCAGGAGAACCCATTCAACTAGTGGATGGAGAGCCCCCCATTCAACTGGACCAGGACCTTGACAATGCTGCTGATAACTTGATGTCTACAGCCCCAGAGACACTGTTAGATGAAGCTGCTCCACAACAATCATCACAATGTACCATGATTGAGGAGGTTCCAGACGACAATGTAGTACCTCAATCCACTCGAGAATTTTACTACGTTGAGCTGTATCCTGAGGACCAAAAGGCGGGGGCCACCTGAGGAACAGGTACTCCATTGTTTGAATCAATATGTCAACAGCAGGAGAGAGATGGCGAGCCAATCTGGGGCCCTTTCACAGATGAAGCAGAGTGGGGGCTGGCGGAATGGCTACTACGGAATGTGGGACAAAAACAAGCTGACATGTTCCTCAAGCTGCCTATTGTACATTTCTTGTGTGAAAACTTCAGGATCATTCTGATGGCACACGTAGATGCGAGATTGGACCAAGCCTTCTTACAACAGCAACCGTGATTTCCTAAAGAAGATTGATGCCCTACCCACACACAGAAATCGATGGTTTTGTGACATTGTTAGCGCTCCCAGGAACATCACTGATGGGGATGGGAAACCCATGCCCATGGAGCAGCTTGAACTTTGGCAGTGAAACCCTATTGAGGTTGTAAAAGAGTTAATGGGGAATGAGGTGTTATGAGATGCACTACAATATGCACCTGAATGAGCGTATACAGATCGCAAGGGAACAAACAGGGTATATGATGAAATGTGGACAGCAGATTGGTGGTGGGACACCCAGGTACGTGGACTGAAGAGAACTGGTCAAACAAATTCTTATTGATAAACAGAAGAAATTACCTATCGGATTGACCATTGCAGCCATCATTCTCTCAACTGACAAGACACACTTGTCCACTTTCCGAGGTGACAAAAAGGCATGGCCGGTATACCTGACCATTGGTAATATTGATAAGGACAAGCGCCATAAGCCTACAGCCCATGCGACTGTCCTGATTGGGTATCTGCCTGTTGCCAAGTTAGACAACTACACAGAGGCGACACATTCAGATGAAGGTAACGGCTGTTCCACTACTGCACGTCCCAGATCCTGGCACCAATCGTCGAAGCTGGGAAAGATGGCGTGGATGTCGTGTGTGCAGACAGCTTCATCCGACGTGTCTTCCCTCTCCTCGCTGCATATGTTGCTGATTTCCCAGAGCAATGTCTGGTGGCATGCTGTAAAGAGAGCTACTGCCCGAAATGTCTAGTGACACCTGAAAAGAGAGGGTTGTTTGTCAAGTCGTTGTTACATGATGAGGAACACACCAAGGTTATACTTGAACACAAGGTGTCTGGGTGATGGGTGCCGGAATTCACCACAGAGGGGATACACCCAGTTTGAGAGCTGTTCTGGGCCAAGCTTCCTCATAGTGACATATTTTCATGTTTCATGCCCGATCTCCTCCATCAGCTTCACAAAGGCATCTTCCATGACCACCTGGTCAAGTGGTGTGTCAAGGTAGCAGGGGAAGCAGAAGTGGACAAGCAGTTCCACTGCATGCCAGGATATCTGGGTCTTCGGCACTTCAAGAATGGGATATTGCGTGTTTCGCAATGGACAGGCACTGAACATAAAGAAATGCAGCGTGTGTTTGTCGGTCTTCTTGTGGGGGCAGTTCAACCACAAGTTCTGTGTACAGCAAGGGCGGCCATTGATTTCATCTATCTCGCTTGTCTGCAAGTACAGACCACAGCATCCCTGAATGCACTCCAAGACGCCCTGAAGACCTTCCATGACAATAAAGATGTCTTCATTTGGCAAGGCATTCAAGAACATTTTAACATACCTAAACTCCACCAAATGATCCACTATTTCGAGTCCATCAAGTCGTGAGGTTCTGCAGACAGATACAACACAGAGTGGTCTGATTGTATTCATATCGACTTCACCAAGGAAGGGTATTGAGCAAGCAATAAGTGCAATTTTGTGGTGCAGATGACGAAGTGGCTTGACCGCCAGGAAGCAACGGAGCGATTTCGAGTGTACCTTGACTGGCTGTTGTGGCGTGAGGAGTTGGATGAGGTGGAAAGCAATGATGAGAAGAATTGTTAACGTACGAAGAACTCAGTCAGACACGGATGTGAAACGACTGTATTGCCTTAGCTACCTGTTAACGTACGAAGAACTACGTACGAGTAGCATCAGTAAGAGTATATGAATATAAGTAGCAAAAGCTCACCTCAGTCAGACATGGATGTGAAACGACTGAGGTGAGGGAAAATAAGGTTCTAGTTTATATAGGAAAAATCGGGTGGCTTGAGGTAAAGACTAGCAAATACCGGAAGTAAATGTAAAAGGTGGATAAAGAAAGACGAGATGGAGAAATGAGTAAGCAAAGCGTACGCGTAAACAAAGAGGTCACGAGGGGTCTCCTTCAACACTCCCCCAGACGACGAGGGACCTCTAGACGTCCAACTTGAGTGCTCTGACGAGCTTTTGGTGGGTGACGCGCGGGAGCGGCTTGGTGAAGATGTCGGCGAGATTCTCCTCAGAGGGGATTTGGACGAGCTCTATCTCCTTGGCAGCTACACGTTCCCTAATGTAGTGATGGCGTATGTCGATATGTTTTGCGCGTGCATGTCCCTTGGTGTTGAGTGATAGGGCGATGGAGGCGGCGTTGTCACCGTGGAGGACAGCGGGGAAGGTTTGATTGTGGCCGACTTCACCCATGAATGAGTACATCCAAAGGGCTTGTTGAGCAGCGCGTGTGAGCGCCATGTACTCTGCCTTGGTGGTGGAGAGGGCGACAGTGGGTTGACGCTTCGAGCTCCAGGATACAGGCCCACCTGCTAATGTGAATACGTATCCTGAGGTCGATCTACGCGTGTCGATGTCCCCGGCGTAGTCGGCGTCGACAAATCCAATTGGGTCGAGGCTGGCGCCGCGGTTGTAGGTGATTTTGTAGGTGAGTGTGCCCTTGAGGTAAGCAAGGAGGTGGAGCATTGCTTTCCAGTGTGCTGGTCCAGGTTTTGCCTGAAAGCGGGCTAGGACACTGAGGGCGTAGGAGATATCGGGGCGCGTCGCGACTTGAGCCCACATGCAGGCGCCGAGGGCTTCGCGGTAAGGTTTGTCCGCCATGAAGTGGACGTCCTCATCCGTCTTGGGTGAGTCGGATTCAGATAAGATGATGCCGGAGGGTAATGGGGTGGATTTGGCGTTGCAGTCGGACATTCTGAAGCGTTCTAAGACGCGACGAATGTAAGCTTCTTGGGAAAGAGAAATCGCACCCGTGGTTTCATCTTTCTCAACCCGGATCCCCAGAATATACCCAAGGTCCCCCACATCTTTTATCTCGAAGCACGCCTCAATCTCCTTCTTCGCCTTTTCTGCTCCCTCCTTTGTTGTGGACGCACCAAAGATGTCGTCGGTGTAAGTGGTGGTGATAGTGTGTTCGTTTTGAATGATGCGGGAGTGGACGCACGGGTCCGCGAGTGATTTGTAGTATCCCAAAGATTCGTATGCGCCCGTCATTTCCGTTTGAAAATCGTATCCCCCCTGCATCATACTGTATAGGGTTTTGACGACCCGTAAGACCTTCTCTTCCTCCCCCCGGATGACATAACCTGGCGGTTGGTTCATGAATGTCGTGAACTTGTTAGTACTGTAGAGAAAGGCAGCGACGATATCTACCTGCCAGATGTGCAAGTCCATAGCAGCTGCAATTGCAGCGATCATGCGGAAGGACTCTAGGCGTACGACAGAGGCGTACGTCTGATCATAATCAAGTCCTGGGATCTGAGTGTGGCCTTTGGCGACGAGGCGCGCCTTGCGTTTGATGATCTCTCCTATTGCGTCATACTTATTAGCATAGACCCACATGGAATCAATGACGCGCGCATCTGGAGGTGCCTCCACCAACTCGAAAACACCTCTTTCCTTCAATATCGCCCACTCGGTATCCATGGGTTGTTTCCAGAGATCAAGGCGCGTGATTGCCTCCCAGTAGCTCCGCAGGATCTGAGAGTCAGGGAGTATGGTGTGAAGGGCCGTTGTGTCTGTAGGTGCTCCAGTACCTAGGACAGCAAGGCGCGCAGAGCGCCTTGGGATGGGAGGTGTTTGTGCGACTGGTGTCGTGGCATCTGATGGGACACTTGGGACAGCGGGCGTGGTTGTGTCTGGGTGTAGTGGGGGATCAGATTGTCGAGGGCGTGGCGCCAAAGGTTTTGGTGGTATGATTACACCTGTGGTGTCATTTGTGACTTCTGGAGTAGGTGCTTGTACGTCGTCGTCATCGAAGGTAGACTCGGGGATGGATGTGGGTGCGTTGGAGATAGTGCGATGGCCTCGTCCTTCCTCAAAGATGACGTCACGACTTTTAATAGTCGTGCCTGATGATCGATCCCACAACTTGTACGTCCCCCGTCCGTAATAGCCGATCAATACATACTTGATCGATCGAGGCATCAGCTTCGATATGCCTATCTCCTCCGGTATCTTGGCATACACCGTGCAGCCGAAAGGTCGAAGGTGTGAGACGTCCTGACGTTTGCTCGTCCATTTCTCAGTGGGTATCTGCGCAGGGTGTCGACTGGAAGGTATGTAGTTCCCGGTGTAGATGCAGAAGGAGGCGGCGTCAGCCCAGAGCGATGGGGATAAACCGGAGTCGGCGAGAACACAACGTGTTCTTTCGATGATGGTTCTCATCCCACGTTCTGCCAAACCGTTCTGACCGTGTGCGTATGGGGCACTGAATTCCACGATGATACCGTGAGTGGCCGTGTATTCCCTCCATTTCTCGTTGAAGAACTCGTTGCCCATATCAACCCTAATCCGAATCAGCTTCTTTCCAGTCTCCCGCTCTGCCCTCGGATGGTACTCTGCGAAAGCGCTGAGGGTCGTGGCGCTCGACTTCGAGGCGAGGAAATAACCAACACGGTAAGACAAGCCTCCATCATTGAACGCCATCATGTACTCAGCTCCCCCAACAGAGCGAACACGTGCTGGTCCCCATAAGTCGATGTACACCCGCTCCAATACCTCTGTCTCAGGTTCCACCACACTATCATATGGGCGCGTTGTCTGCTTCCCATAGATGCAGTCTTCGCATCGCCCTTCGGGCTCAGCGCCTCCTTTCGTGATGTCAAGACCATCGACTAACCCCCTCTTGGCCATGTCGATGATCGAGCGGACACCGACATGTCCGAAACGTCTGTGCCACATCTCGAGGTCTGTGGGTTTGTGGAGGGAGCGCGCTGCAAGGGCATGTGTGATAGGTGGGTTGGGCTCGACACGGAGGAGGTACATCCCATTGCTCCCCGTGCCTTTCATGAGTGTCCTTTTCTGACCATCATGGATGTCATAGAAGGTTACTCCCCCACTGCCGAATAATGCCCAGCAATTCGCCTCGTCAAGTTTGCCAATCGAGACGAGGTTTGCAATGAGGTCAGGGGTGTGGACTGCATGTGTGAAGGTAATGGTGGTCTTCAGCACTCCAGATATGATAGTTTTGGTGACTGCGCCATGTCCGACGATACGGAATTGTCCCCCTTTGTTTGCGGGCTGGCCTTCATCAGGTTGGGATAATGCGTGGTAGGTGGAGAAGTCTGATCGGTTTACAAAACAGTGTTTATTTGCTGCAGAGTCAGCATAGGTCGGTACATCCCTCTCTCCTGGTGTGGTAGTTGCGGCTAACACATGGGTTATGTAGGGCGTATGTGCGGACTCTTCCAATGCGAGTCCGGGTACATTTGAGATGAGGGCGAAAGTAATTTCGGAGGTAGGTGAGGTGTCAGTGAGCGCTGCTGTGACTGACGATGTGTTCGCGTTAGCGGTACCCTGGGTCGCAGAACCTTGTCCTCCCCCATGCTGTCCGAAGCCTGCAGGGAACTGTCCCTCTTTCCCTCCGCCGCGCCAATAGCAGTTCGTGATTAGATGACCACGACGTCCGCAGTTGGGGTTAGCGCATAATAATTGGCTTCGTGGCTTCCTCGTGTTAGTTTGGAGAGCCGTAACGACCATGGAGGAATTGGTGACAGACTTGGAACGGTCAATTCGATTCCAATGAATCATTAATCGACTGATGACTTCCCCAGATGACTTGGCCTCGTAAAGCGTGCCGACGACGCTATCCCAGGATTCAGGTAATGAGGATAAGACGATCATGCGAAAATCTGCGTCGCTGATTTTTGCACCAGCGTTGTTTGCCATCACCCACTTGGTGCGCAAGTTGGAGATATGGGTTGGGAAATCGTTTCCGTCGGCGAAAGCGGTATTACGGAGGTCGCGTTGGGTAGTGACAATGGCGAGGTCAGACGAGATTTTATATTGGTCTGTGAGTGACTTCCATGCTTCAGCAGCAGTGCCATCAAGCTTAAGACCAAGACCGATGGCATTTTTAGTGTTATAGAGGAGTAGTGCACATGCCCAGGCGTCGCGCATAGCCCACTCCGCACCGGAGGGGTTTGTGGAGTACCACGGCAAGGGATCGTCAGGAAGTGGGACGTTTGTTAACGCCGGTGTGTAATTCAGAGTGGTGGGGCTCGGATAAGGGGCAGGGTTAGGGATAGTTCCCTGTAGATACCCTAAGACGCCGCGGCTGCTGGCCGCAATGACAACAAGCGTCTCGAAGGTAGCAAAATTTGTCCCATCAAATTTTTGGTCCTCTGAAAAGGTAGGGGGGTTTGCTGACGACGACATTTTGTGTACGTGGTAAAGTAGGCTCTGTGAGTCGCAAGTAATGTGATAGAGCAGGTATGTGTGTGTCTATATTTCTTCGAGTTAGAGCGCAGCGGGGCCCATAACCTGTTAACGTACGAAGAACTCAGTCAGACACGGATGTGAAACGACTGTATTGCCTTAGCTACCTGTTAACGTACGAAGAACTACATACGAGTAGCATCAGTAAGAGTATATGAATATAAGTAGCAAAAGCTCACCTCAGTCAGACACGGATGTGAAACGACTGAGGTGAGGGAAAATAAGGTTCTAGTTTATATAGGAAAAATCGGGTGGCTTGAGGTAAAGACTAGCAAATACCGGAAGTAAATGTAAAAGGTGGATAAAGAAAGACGAGATGGAGAAATGAGTAAGCAAAGCGTACGCGTAAACAAAGAGGTCACGAGGGGTCTCCTTCAACAAGAATGGTGACAGCTTGGGTCACAATGGTGACATCAACCTCACAGTTGACAACAATGACAGCGAACCAACAACCAACGCCGACCTACCCATCACCCACCATCTACCAGTCAAGCCTAGTTTCTGGCTGGTCAACATTAACACTATAGTCACCGAATTCCATGCAACCAACCTCCTCTCTCTTCTCACAACATTCATTCAACACTATTTCCTGCCTCCTCAACAACCATTACTCCCCAATCACACTGACCTATTTGATGCCTACAAACATCTATCCATTTGCTTACCCGACCTTCCTTCCACTGGCCATATCAACTTCCTCCAGCACATTCGTGCTGTACCAATCATCCCTGGATCTCAGCAAGACTCTCCGGCAACCTTCGACATTGTTTTAGTTAGGACTGAGGGCAAGGAGAGGAATCAAGCTACCAAGGGGACTTACTTAGAAGGTGAGAGCACTTCCTGTGCTGCTACATCTTGTTAACTAATGTATCTCTCATTGCAGGACTTTGGGTAGCACAAGTGCACATGTTCTTTGCACTCCCTGATCACCTTTGTCATGACCAATCCATCCCCAAATGCCTCGCCTACGTCGAGTGGTTCAACCCACTTCGAGCTCCTGATCCTGACTCTGGCCTCTACTCTGTTTCTCGCTTGCTCAGTTGTGGTCTCCCTGTGGCTGATGTTGTACCCATCTGTGATATTGTCCAAGCTGCTACCTCATTCCGAAGTTTGGCACCAAGTTCTCCCCTGCTAAATGGACTCACCTTGAAATCATTGACAATTGGAAACATTTTTCTCTCAACAAGTACATCAACCTATCTACATTTTACAAGCACCAAGATCTTCAGTGACTAAGTAGTAACTATCCATAAACACTTCTTAGTAGACACGACACGCCCACATTTATTATATACTACAAATCCATATATACATTTGAACCTGCTCTATTCTGGCCAATTAGACCTACTGTAGCTTATCAAGGTTGGCGGCGAGCCTCACAGGCCCTGTGGTCCTAGAAGGCATTAAAGAGGGCATGCACTGATTCTTGTCTGCTGGATTGTCTATCACCGATCTGAACTCAAGTCCTAGCCACTTCAGTCACCCAGTGCCAACTGACTATTAGTCATGCAAACTCCACGTAAGTTACATGACTAAATGTCATGGACCATATCTATATTCTAGATATATATGGGTCCTAGAAAGCCCTGAAATCTAAAATATATTTTTGACACATGGACCCTGAAATGTCACACAAAAATTATAATGTCTGTGTCACACCACCAAAATATATTTTGCAAGTGAAATGCAGTAAGGATATATTTTTGGTCAGTGGACCCTGAAATGTCACTGTCACACCTTAGAAATATATTTTTGCCCTGGCTTTGCCTTAGGATATATTTTGTGAAACAGATGTGGTAAGGATATATTTTTCTGGTCTGTAGTGGTGTCAGGGGTCCTAGTTTCAGCAAAAAACTTGTGATTTTTTTTGCTGTCTGGAGTATATATTCTGGAAGATTCTGCAATGACTTCCAGGGGTTTTGGCACTATGTCTAGCTGTGCTCCCAGTATGTATGTAGCAATAAGGGGCATCAATAGCATCTGTGATATACCTGAGTTGCTTAAGTATTATCCACTTCCAATCACACTATGAATACAGTTCACATTACAGATTCATTCATTCTCCTTCAACAATTTTGGGCCTCAATGACATGTATTGAATCACCTTGAAGCTATTCAGTCCAAGATTCCTGAGTTGCTTAAGTACTATCCACTTTGACACTATAGATACAGTTCGCACTATGGAATTTTTTAGCTGCTTAGAAATCCCCTCCACTTCTGCCTCTACTTCAGCTCTGAGGTCTCCATTTGCACCTTATCTGCATACCCCACCCACATCTGTATTACTATCCCCTGCCAGACAAACTCCTGCATGTGATATCAAACATGTTGTCCAATCCACTTTCAAAAACCAGAGTTCACAAAGTTCTTTGTTTCACTCTCCAATTGCACCTTATCTGCATGCCCCACCTACATCTGTATTAGTCAAACCTCTGCATGTGATATCAAACATCTCTCCCAACCTACTTTCAAAAACCAGAGTTCACAAAGTTCTTTGCTCTTTCTCTTTTTCTCTCTCCAGTTGCACCTGATCTGCATACCTCACCCACATCTGTATTACCATCCCCTGCCAGTCAAACCCCTGCATGTGATATCAAACATCTCTCCCACCCCACTTTCACAGACAAGAGTTCACCAAGTTCTTTGTTGTTTCTCTCCTTCTCTTCCTCTCTCCC